TTGCTGCAATCAAAGCTTGATACTTTGCAACGAAAGATTGCAAAAGTGACTAATGGTTTCTCAGAAATTATGATCAAGTTGGATACAAATATTAATTTATTAGAGTCTAAAATGGAGGAAATTGAGGATAATTTGGACAATAAAATACAAAAAATTGAAAATGATTTGATAAACACTCAAGACAATAGCTTAGAAGAAAAACCTAAAATGGAAGCTGATCAAAAGACTTGTAATGCAGAAAACATAAAACAACGGATTGAAAAAGAAGTTTTAATGATGCAATATAATCTCACTGAATATGCGATTAGACTGAGAGGATTATAGGAAAACAACAGAGATGACTTAAGGAAAATATCTTCTGAAATTCTGGCTGGGATCTTAAAGGTTCACCCTGAGGAAGTATTTTGTAGGATCGACAGAGTTTATAGAATAAATTCCTGGATTGCAAAGCAAAGGCAACTGCCTAGAGATGTGGTGATTTATTTTACAGATAAAGAAATAAGAAATAATATTGTGCAAAAATCTTTTAATTCTACTTTGCAATTGTTTGGAAGAAAGATTTGGATATACAAAGAGCTACCGCCTAAGATGTTATTGGAGAGAAAGAAATTTGGTTTTCTGGTGACTGAGCTTAAAAAACGAAATATTTTATTCAGGTGGGATGCTCCAGTTGGTATAATATTGAGATATCAAGGAGAAAGATACCAATTAAATACTGTTGAAAAAGCGGAAGAATTTCATCAAAAATTTTTGAAAATGAACTCAACATCTTTATGCACAACACAAGATAAGCAGAAGGAGTTGGAAATAAAGGAAAAATATCAAGTTACAGAGGCCTCTGTAGATGAATCGCCTTTGGATTCTTTAGACATCTCAGCTGGATTATCTATAAATAAGAGAGAAGTGGCATCAGATTCTAACGTGATGATTCATCAAGTCACAGACAAGCATGGAAATCAATTAGTTGATACACAACTTATAGAAAAGAAATATGAGTCACAAAAGCAAAACCAAAAAGATCAAGTTATAAATCAGAATGAAAACCGATCAGACGACATACAATTTGTAGAAAGGAGATTAGGATGGAGATCAAACCCACAAAAAGTCAGGAAAAAAAGAAATAGATCTCGCAAAAACAAAAATTCCTAAAATAGGCAACAGTGAAGCCAGTTATTTAAAAAATGACTGAATACATTAAAAGATAGGGGAGGCGAAGTATTGGTTAATATTATCCTGAGGAGAGTGACAGATCTCTGCAATGCTGTAATCTTGGGATGTGAAAAGGGCCTTAAATTGTTGGACTGGAATTATCTATTTTGGACTTTTTTTTTGATAAATATATCATGTTTATGCTGAGCTATATGGCAAGAGAGCTATGCTGGGGCATGCAGAAGATCTGGTTGTTACCCCATTATGATGGTGGGAATCAATAATCCTGAAGAAATCCACTATTTCAGATATTATATGGAATACAATTATAATGTCACTCGGGTGGTTGTTTTCTTTTTTTATATACATAAAGATATTTATTATTGATGGGGGCAGATGATAACTGAGGATTTTGAACATTCTGTTGCAATCATGATGTTATGTTACCCTAATATGGGTGATGGAGCCAACAATCCAGTGAAAAGACATCAAAGAAGATATTATATGGATTATAAATTTAAAGTTATTGATTTTATTTATATAAGGGAATATATATATATATATATATATATATATATATATATATATATATATATTTAGTAGGGTGGGCAGAAGAATAAAGATATTAAGAATTGTTACGCATGGTAATTTTGTAGGAATGTGGGTGGATACAGGCTAGTTTAATGATTGTTTAGTTTAAGAACAGGGATGTTTAAGAGATATATTTACGGGAGTGGAGGAAATGGACAGAGTTGAATAAATGTTAAATTAGGATTTATTATATAGTCTTATAGGGGAAGGCTGCTTTGGAATGTTATATTAATATATACAAAAGAGTAAATGTTACAAAAGAGTAAATGTTAAATTAGGATTTATTATATAGTTTTAAAGTGGAAGGTTGTTTTGAAATGTTATATTAATATGTAGATATATGTATGGGGGAGGAAAAAGGGCAGATTATTACTAAATTGGGAGTCATAACAATATTACTGTGGTAAATCAGAAGTTATTATACAATGTTATAGTAGAATGTTATTTTGAAATGTATGGTAAAAGGGGGAAGTAATAATATTAATAATATTATTAGAAAGTAAGGGTCAGTATTTGGAGGAGGGAGTAAGGGGATGGTAAAATATTATATAATCTGTTATGAATTAGGTTTTTATTTTGAAGAAGTCACAGGGGGGACGGGTGGTGGGGGGGTTAGGGAGGAGGGGGGAGAAAAAAGGGGGAAAATTTGTATTTGAAAACTTTTTCAATAAATATATATATATATATAAGAAAAGATTTTTTTAACCATAGTCGATGACTATAGTCGCTATGGATTTGTATAGAGAATTAAACACAAAAGTGAGGTCTTTCACAAATTTAAAGAATTCTACAAACGGGTTGAAGTTCAACATACTACAAAAATAAAACAAATTATGACCGACAGAGGGTCAGAATTTTTATCCAAAGATTTTTCTAAATGGCTTAGGGAACAGGGAATACTTCATTACACATCTTGTCCATTTTCAGCCTTTCAAAATGGTATTGTAGAAAAAAAGAATGGGACACTACAGGTAATGATGAGATGCATATTAGAAGATGCTGGACTAGGAAAGGCATTCTGGTCAGAAGCCATCCTATATTCTAACTATACAATCAACAGATTATGGTCCAGCACAATAAATTCAACCCCTTACGAGTTAATGTATAAAAGAAAACCCAGCATATCTCATTTACATATTTTTGGAGTCACAGCTGACGTCCTCATCCCCAAACAAATTAGGAGGAAAGGGGACAAAGTGTCCAAAAGACTCAGATTCATTGGGTACGAATCTGGCACCAAAGGGTATAGATTTATTGACAACCAAAACAACTTCATAATCTCCAGGTCAGCCACATTTCATGAACACACTAATTGGTCCAGGATTCACCTAAACGAGATAACTCACACAGCACACAACACAAACAATCAATTAGATTCAGATAGTACAAATCATGACACACAACCAGTAATCAAACCCAAACACAAAGAGATTGATACTAAAGATTGGAAAGAAAATCACCCATCATTGAAATTAGACACTCTCTCTGATAAAGAAGCAAGATACCTACATGAGTCTATAACACCTGAGAACAGACCTATCAGGGAGAGCAGAAACAAAAAACCTAGCAAATACAATGATTTTGTCATGTCAATACACACTGAAGAATATACCCCTACTTCATATGAAGAAGTCACAAAACTACCTCATGAGGAGAGAAATAAATGGGAAATAGCCATGAAAAAGGAATTAAATAGTTTAAAGGAACTAGATGTATACACCCCTTCACCAGTACCTAATGACAAATCTCCAATTGGAACAAAATGGATATATAAAATAAAGATCCTAGATAATAATGAAACCATATATAAGGCTAGATTAGTTGCCCAAGGGTTTGCCCAAAAATATTCTGAAGATTACACGGAAACCTATTCTCCTACAGTAAGATCAGAAAGCGTAAAATGCGCCTTAGTGATTGCTTCAATCTTGAAATTAGATGTATATCAATTTGATGTTCAAACTGCCTATCTGCATGCCAAACTGGACAAAAAAATATATGTTAAATCTCCTCCTGGCATACACCCACTGGAAGGTAACACATGGCTATTAAATAAAAGCCTATACAGACTGAAACAATCTGGAAAACAATGGTACGATTGTTTGTCCACCATACTAAAATCAATAGGATTCTCCCCCACTCATGCTGATATGTGTTTCTTTTATAAGAAAAACAAAGATTCCACAGAATATGTTCTTATATATGTTGACGATATTTTATATCTAGGGAATCAGAAACAAAAATGTGAAATCTTCGCTCAGGAATTGAACAAACATTTTTCTCTAAAATCCCTAGGGAAAATAAACAAGTACTTAGGAGTTCACATCACTCAAACACAAAAGGGATTCCAATTATGCCAAGAAGAAAAAATATTAGAATTAGTGAAAAAATGTAATATGAATGAAGCTAAGTACTGCGAAACCCCTATGCATCCTGACTTTGTAAAAAACATGCATAATGAAAACGATCCTTTCACTAACAACAAATTATATAGGTCAACAATAGGTTCTTTATTGTATATAGCTAATTGGACCAGACCTGATATAGCATTATCTGTCAATTTACTATCCAGATATGTAAGCAATCCTACTATTTATCATTGGGAAGCGGTTAAAAAAATCATTAAGTACTTGAAACATAGTTCAGGAGCATCTCTAAGGTTAGAGCCAAGTAACTCATCTATACCCACACTCTCATGTTATGCTGATGCTGATTGGGCAGGTGATGTAAAAACTAGAAAAAGCACTTCAGGTTATATTCTCTTTCTCAATGGTTGTCCCATCCATTGGTATACAGGAAAACAAAATCTAGTTGCTACTTCTACTACTGAAGCTGAATTTGTATGTTTGTCAAAAGCAGCAAATAACCTCATATGGTTTGACGATTTATTAACTACAATATGGAATGAACCCAATTATCCCATCATCATTTATGAAGATAATAAAGCTGCCATAGAAATCTCCAAATCAGATGCAGTAGGTCAAAGATCCAGGCACATCGATATTAAGTATAAACATGTAAGACAGTTGTCTAATATTGGATTTCTAAAAAACTGTTCATTGTGAAACTAGTGAGCAAATAGCAGACATACTTACGAAACCCTTACCTAACAAGCAGCATTCATATTTGAGGTCAAAGCTCAACATACAACTATCTTAGGCATTTAGAGGGGGTTTTGTTACATATGTAAATGCCTAATATATATTTGCCTGTGTATATAATTATGGTTACCTCCCATTCTGTCTACATCACCCCCGTAACCACTCCTACTTACTTCTAACCACTCCTCCTCTGTATATATACCAACTCCTCCCTGAATCTTGGTTCTTCTGCTATATCTCCTGTAAAGAATAGATGAAAATAAACAATAATTAATATCATAACAGACTCTGAGTAATCATTGAGCAAGATCCTCGAATTCTGATGCAACTAAACTTCAATTAATTTGAATTGCTAGAGCCATGATGGCGAACCTATGGCACACATTCCAGAGGTGGCATGCAGAGCCCTCTCTGTGGGTACATGTGCCGTCATCCCAGCTCAGCTCCACCGCGTTTCTCTGTGGCGTTTCTTGCCGTCATTTGCAGGGAAACAGAAGTTTCCCTGCAAACAACAAAACAGAAGCTAACGAAATAAAAAGATCTCACCTCTTGCAGAGCTGCCAGTGTTGGGATGCCGCACCTCCCAGTGGCTGGCTGGTCTTCGGGTCTCTGATGCAAATGCACGCATGTGAGTGCATGTGTGAGCGCACACACCTTACAGTTTGGGCATGCGCGCATGCAGTTTGGGCACTTGGTGTCTAAAAGATTCGCCATCACTGTCCTAGAGCGAGATGAGCATTCTATAAATTAAATAAATAAATGGAAAAAATCAATATATAACCACAACAACAAATGGGTTGTTGTTCCTGTTTGTTTTTCCCAATACTGAATTTTCAATTTCCTCCTAATGAACTCCTTTATCACTTTGTCACTGATGTGTATTGTCAAATTGGAGTCTTAAGTTATCAAAAAGTTGTAAGTTGCTTTGGACTCTTGGTCACATTTACTGGTCTTCTGAGTATCAAACAGGACAGAGGACTACTGTTTCTCTACAGCATGATATAAGGCAGGGGTCCCCAACCTCCAGGCCACGGCCCACTCCATATCCATGTAAGCAGCAAGAGCACACGTGCACAGCTCCACTTGTGTGAGTTGCAAGTGGGTGCTCTCGTGTGAAGCTCCATTTGTGCAAGTGGCTGGCAGGAGCACTCATGCATGAAGCTCCATTTGTGCAAGTGGCACATGTGACAACCACTCACACAGAACCATCCCCACTCCCTCACTGCCAGTCCAGAAACCGGAAAGGTTGGAGATAGCTGATATAAGGCAATGTACTTGTCCCCAAGATGGACCATAGCTCTTCTCATCTATAGGTATTTGCTCTTTTCTGGGGACCACTCCTCTTTATTGATATAAAATAACCATAAGAATTGTAGAGTAAGGAAGATGACCTTGATTTAGATAGGCCAGATCTGCTACCAAGGCAACAAGGAGAAAAACATATCTGAAAGCATCTGAAAGCTGCTCAGGCAAATACATCCCTAATTCACATGAATATAAGATGAAGAGGAGACATAGCACAATCAGACTTGCAAGATTCTGTTACTACAACTATTCTCAATAAAAATAATCTTAGCCCTAGTTGAGTTGATTCTTGGTCTGGTGTACCAAGGAACTGACAAAATAGTATCAGGTTGCTAATGGTTGAAAAAGTTGGCCAGTTCTTTTAACATTTTCTAAAACTAAGTTTTATAATTGAAAATATTGGTCCATTTGAAATTTTGAAATATTTGGTCCCTCCCAGTGGTGGGATTCAAATAATTTAACAACTGGTTCTCTGCCCTAATGACATGGGTAGGCATGGCTGGGTGGTCATGTGACTAAGTGGGCATGGTCAACTTGACGTCACTCAGGTCAAGAGGTGCCTCACTTCACCCGGCCTTTCCTCATCATGCTCGGCTTCTCCTAACCCTTCTCCTCCCCTCCCAGCCCCTCCTTGTCATGCCCAGTCTCTCCTCTCCTCGTCCGGTCTCTCCTCGACTTATGACCACAATTGAGCCCAAAATTTATGTTGCTAAGTGAGAAATTTATTAAGTGAATTTCATGACTTTTCTTGCCCCATTTCTTAAGTGAATCACTGCAGTTGTTAAATTAGTAATATAGCTGTTAAGTGAATCTGGCATCCCCATTGACTTTGCTTGTCAGAAGTTTGCAAAAGGGGATCACATTACCCTGGGAGACTACAACCATCATAAATGTGAGACAGTTGTCAACCATCTGAATTTTGATCACGTGACCATGAGGATGCTGCACTGGTTGTAAGTGTGAAAAATAGTCATAAGTCACTTTTTTCAGTGCCATTGTCACTTTGAATGGTCACTAAATGAACTGTTGTAAATCATGGATTACCTGTACAAAAAGCTTCTTTGCTTGCAAAAAGCTGCCCTAAATACCAATCATTAGATTAGAAATGAAGGAATACATGCTGAAGATTAATGACAGTCACAGCCATCACGGAAATCTAAACCATTCTGTCTGAATAACTTCCTTTTCATCAGCAATACCTGCAACACAGAGTTACAAATCAGAAAGAGTGCCAGAGCACTTTGAGGAATTAAAATAGTTAAAATGCAATGATAACTATCAGCAGCCAACTCTTGCTCATAAAGAGAAACCCTTTAGCAGAGAGGTCATTTAAGCTCTCCTGAAAGTGGGTGGGCATACTTGGGCTACAAAATGCTGAGCTAAAGAGACAAATTAACAAAGTATATAGGGGACCCAGGTTCACATCTCTGCCCTCCCAAACTTGTCAGAATCACAATAAAATTAATACATGTCACAGATATCTAAATAAACTTCAAGTCTGGTGCCATGTTACTAAGCCTTATTATCGTGAGAGAAAACTAAAACAAATTGGAGGGAAGATCCATACCCCTACTTCCTTTAAAAAAAAAAAAATCTTATTATCAGTGGGCAATCATGTGCCTTGGCCACTCCAAAGCTATGCAAGAGACTCCTATCCCAAAGGTGCTTTTTCAAGAGGCAACTGGTCTTTCTGAAAAAAGCACCTTTGGAACAACCATGACCTGGATGACTGAAGAATCCCCATAGACAAGAGACTCCTGTGCTCAGTGAACTGACAAAGTACTCTTTCCCATCCGGAAGAAGCAATCCTTAGATCCCTTTGCACCACTTATAGATACTGGCTGGCCTCACTCACCTCACAAGATATCCTAAGGAAATCATCCAGATTTAAGGAAGGATCACATGCCCCCAGAAAGGCAATAAAAAAATCAGACAGAGTGCCACGCTTGCATCCTGCTTCTCAGCCATTGCTTAACTCGATGAGGCAGACAGCAGCAGTCCAAAAAGATTACCTCATCACTTTCCCATCAGTGTGTGTGTGGGGGGGGGGATCTCCCAAAGCCTTCTTTTTTTGTAATAAACAAACAAAGAAGCCAAAGACTAGTCAGATTGCTCCATTTAGAGAAGATTATGAATCCAGGGAAGAAAGAGGCCCGTGATTGCCCCCTCCCACCGTTAATTGGTGACAGAGGAGGCAAGGAGTGGCTGGGAGAAGATTCAGTTGTGTTGGAAGTACACCCCAAAAAGACAGTGCCAGGAACCACTAAAGCTTAAAACAACCCTTCCCCTTTAAGAAAGTCAAGCCCCGGAATAAAAGTTCCAGCCAAGGAAAAAAAAAAACTACAGAGAAGCCATTCAGACTATAGAAAGTCTGGGTGTACTGCAGGGGTGGGTTCTACTTACCTTTACTACTGGTTCACAACGGGATCACACTTCTGTGCGTGCACAGATTGCTGATGGTGACATCTGGGGCGGTGGGCGGGGCCTCCCACCAGTTTTACTACCGGTTCTTGTGAACCGGTCTGAACCGGGGGCAACCCACCAGTGGTATACTGCCAAGAACCTTTAATGACTGTTACAATGTAACAAGGCTTAACCACAGAGGCAGTTTTGGAAAACGCTTAAGCAGGTCAATAAAGATAAGCAGGATTAGGCTAGAAACAACGCACAGAGGCACATCAGAATGCCTCCTTCCTGCCTTCCTGACAAGATTAACCCCATAAGGTGGGTGGGGGGAAGGCTGTTGGAAGGAGATTTCTTCCAACAGACGGTTTGCCAAACTGCTCAGAAAGTTAGCTACTGGTTCTCCTGAACTGGTGTGAACCAGCTGAATCCCACCACTTGTCCCTCCCCCCTTGTTTATCAAGCAGCTTGCAGTATATAGTTATAGTGACGTTTTATATTATTACAAAGTGCTACATTGCTTATAGATAACAGTCTAGCACCCCAACCTTATTTGGGAAACATGGAAAGAGAAGCAATATAAACCAAGTACATGGGACCACATGTACTAAACAAGATAACATTGTTTCTTGAAACAGTATTTAAAATTAAAATGAATTCAACCTCAGAAGGGGAATATAACCAGCAAATATAACATGTAACAAGCAAATGCTATTATTACTACTAATAAACATACTATCATAAAAAAAGATTTATAAGTATTTGTGATGTATCAAATTAATAGCATATACTGAAATCCTTAACCATTTATTCAGATGAGAAGTTTTCTGAGAACTGAGCAAGCAAATTAATATTTAAAAAATTGTTTTTACTGCTTTAATATAAAAAAAAGGAAAAAGAAAAAGAAAAGAAGGCCATCATAAAGCCAACAAAATGATGTTACATGTAAAATTTATTTATTTATTTTATTTTATATCAAATTTATATACCGCCCTTCTCCCTGAGGACTCAGGGTGGTGTACAGCCAAAGTAAAAACATAAACTACAAACATTAAAATACAATTAAAAAGATATATATATATTTGGCCCCATAATTAAAAGCAATGACAAAACAATTAAAAACATTTTAAAAAGTGTTAGGCCAGCCCGGCTTGCTGAAAAAAGAAAGTTTTAAGGGCACGGTGAAAGGCACCGAGGTCTTGGATTCTCCTTATCACTGGGGGCAGCTGTTTCCAGAGGGTAGGTGCCCCCACAGAGAAGGCCCTCCCCCTGGGGGTCACCAGCCTACATTGTTTGGCTGATGGCACCCTGAGGAGGCCCTCTCTGTGGAAGCACACAGGTCGATGGGAGGCCGTCGGTAGCAGCAGGCGGTCTCGAAGATATCTAGGTCCTATGCCATGGAGCACTTTAAAGGTGATAACCAACATCTTGAAGCGCACCCGGAAGACCACTGGGAGCCAGTGCAGCTCACACAGGAGAGGTGTTGTATGGGAGCACCATGCAGCTCTCGTAACTACCCGCGCGGCCACATTCTGGACCAGTTGGAGCCTCCGGGTGCCCTTCAAGGGGAGCCCCATGTAGAGAGCATTGCAGTAGTCCAGGTGAGAGGTGACGAGGGCGTGAATGACTGTGCACAGGGAATCCCGATCAAGAAAGGGCCGCAACTGGCGGATCAGGCGAACCTGACAAAAAGTCCCCCTGGCTACAGCTGTCAGATGTTCCTCCAAGGACAGCTGCGTATCCAGGAGGACTCCCAGATTGCGAGCCCTCTCCGAGGGGGCCAAAGACTCGCCCCCAATAGTCAGGGATGGAGTCAACTGACTATATCGGGATGCCGGGAACCACAGCCACTCAGTCTTGGAAGGGTTGAGCTTGAGCCTGTTTCTCCCCATCCAGATCCGCACAGCCTCCAGGCACCGGGACATCACTTCAAGGGCATCGTTGGGGTGGCCTGGGGTGGAGATGTAAAGCTGGGTGTCATCAGCGTACTGATGGTACTTCACCCCAAAGCCATGGATGATCTCACCCAGCGGCTTCACATAAATGTTGAACAGAAGGGGCGAGAGGACCAACCCCTGAGGCACTCCACATATAAGAGGCCTTGAGGTTGACCTCTGCCCCCCTGCCAACACAAACTGCGACCGGTCTGAGAGAAAGGAGGAGAACCACCATAACAGCTTAAAAATAAGGTCATTCACCCTTATTTTTAAATTCAAAATCATTCCTTGACTACACAAAATAATGTTGATAAATCTGTTAAAATTGGTTGTATGGAACAAAGGTAGATAAGAGGATGCATGTTAGAGATGCATAAGTAAAATAAGTGACCATAGATGGAAACAATTTTAAAAGGAAACAAATTCATGGAAGTTTGGGCTATCAGTTACTACTAGCCTTGACAGCTGTTTGCATAGACAGTGTCCCTTAAATGCAACAGGTAAAACTGCTATTACAGTATTTTCCTATCCTGCTGATGAGTCTGCCCGGCTACTGTGAAATACAGAATGCTGAACTAGAGAAGCCACTGGCTAATCTAACAGAGCTCTTTTATCTTCAAGACCAAAATAATAGCTAGTTTCAAAATTATGTTTGAAACAAACTACCCTGTTGAACTTTTGTAAATTGATTTCAGATAGCATGCAGGTATGAGTACAGTCTTACAGTAAGTAAGACTGTAACACCTTAGATTGTCTAAAAGCAGCAACATATAGTTGAAGTGAAGTAGTTACCTCTGTAGGATAGAAATACAGCAGTAATCAATGAAAATTAAATAAGAAAAAAGTAAGTATGGATGAAGAAAAACCAGAAAAATATTAGCAACACTTTAATAAAGATAATTTCTTTGCAAGGGCTATGGCATTTTTAAATGAAAATTATCCTTCCCCCTATTAGTGAATAGACTAACCAAAAGTAGCACACAAAATATACAAATCTGCAAGAGCTCCAAAACTCTTCATCAGGAAATGTATTTATTTAGTATATGGCAATGTCAGGGAAATCTACAAATGCTAGACACAATGCAGTTCTGACAGCCTAAATTGCTGGTTCATTCTGTTCAGCACTTGCATGCCCATCCTTGGTGCACTGCAGAATGCGAACTAGTTTACACCAGCTGACTAGCAAGTCTTGGGTTGCTGCCTCTTTGGGACTCCTCTGCCTTTCTCACCTTGCCTCGTATTGTGTTGCCTCACATCTGGCCATGTCCAGCTTTGGCTTTTGCTCTCTGCAGCTAGTGGCACCCATTTATTTACTTGCAATATTGCATGGTTAGGCAAGCAGTGGGAGCTCACTCTGTCTCACGGAGTCAGACTTGAACCATTGGAGTGCAGACCATGTCTGGCCATCAGTTCCATCATCACTATGCTGCTGCACCACTGCATCCCCTTCATCAGGAAATAAACAAAGCAGAGAGGTTGGGGACAAAAGTTTTGAAGTGATGAGGCTGTATTTCATATACTGTACATAGTCTCAAGGTTTAATGTGAGCTGAAATAGAAGAAATAACAAAGGCCTGATTTCTCATTCGCTTGCATTTTATTGTTATATTAAGGTGACCAGACGTCCCGCTTTTGGCAGGACAGTCCCGCTTTTTAGCAATTTGTCCCGCGTCCCGCGGCGTTTCAAAAAAGTCCCGATTTTTCATTCTGCCTCCTGAGTCCCGCTGCCTCTTGAGCCCCAGCTGATGGCTAGAAGAAAAAAAAACTGTTTAAACTCTTGCCCGGGGCTTCAAAGGGCCGCCCTACAGGCAATCAGTGTAAAGAGTTCCTGAAGCAGTTTTTTTTTCCCCTAGCTAAGCT